GAAGAGGCCATGTCTCGCACCCATACAACAACACAGCCCTTACTGTAGCCTGGTACACACGACCCTTAAGATCCAGTGAGATGCCTTTTTGACGCCACAAGTGACGCAAATTAGCAAACGTGATTCGAGCCTTTGAGATTCTCGCACTGACTTCATCAGACACACTTCCGTCAGAGCTAATACAACTACCGAGGTATGTAAAGTTTTCCACAATCTCCAGTGGTTCTCCTTGAATTGTAAGGGATATGTTCGCAGATGGCACGATATGCATCAACGGACTGCGGTTCCGATGCTGAGAGGAGTACTTTCTATCAAGATTTATTCGGGATTATTCGCCTAGAGAAATGCATTGACATTGTGATCCTTGCGGGCGATATGAATGTCCAAGTTGTCTGAGATTCTCGAAATCACACCTGGCGGTCGACCCAAAGTCGATGCTCTCTGCAACATTGACCTACACAACTAACAATACTGATGATGATGATGATGCACAAACAATGGAAGGCGATTTCTCCTATTGTGCACCAACCACCGGCTATTTCTGTCCAACATAAGCACTCGCACCGTGTAATCTGGTGCCCACCAGGTGAAAACAAACCGTGGACCCAGTTGAGTCACATGACCATCAGTCGCTGTGGGAGATTCGTAGCTCTAGACTGCCGTTCCTTCCGGGTATAACTAGGTTGTGAATACACCATGATGCGGGCGCGTCTGACAGTTCGCTTCCTCGCAATTAAGCAAGAGGCACGTCAATCTATCATCTTCCAAGGACTATTGTAGCTCAGCAGTAGCGATTTTGGCGAGCTCAAATACTGTGCGCAATAAACCAACACGATACTGTCAACAAACACGTAGAGCATGACACGATGTAAAAGGCGCTATGCTGGTGGCGTTCAACTTATCCCATACGACAAAATGACCACTGGGTATCGTGGAGATAGCTATTCCGAACTGATGCTAGGGAATCCATGCGAGCAGGCATCGAGTACGATGCGTCATGCATATTTCTTAAGCACCAACTTGTGAAGAGAGGAGACAGCGAGAGGTCTGGTGGACAATGAAAGCTCAGGAGATGATAACGCTTCTTGTACCCGAAAACAGCCGTAGCCGTAGGATAGCAACGATGAGTGAAAAAGACGGCTCAGTGATTTTGCAAGAATGCCGTTTGGAAAATATGACCCGAGCACTTTGGATGACAGTTTTCCGACTTTCTGCTTCACGAGCCACCGTAAGGCGATGAAAGGCAAGTGACGTCAACAGTTTCGTTAGGAGCAGCGTTTAGTTTATCCCATTGTGATTATCGCGCTCACTACGACCCCTTTTTGAAAATGGGCGCTTCCACCGATTCCTCCCGGTTGTTTAGGACCGTTTCCTTTTCCCAACTACCCTGAAACAGGTGAGACATGCGATGTCTGGGGACTTCACTCCTGTCTCTGAACAATGCGGGCGGGAGTTCATCCGGAGACGCTTGATAGAACACATGTATTCATGAACTTCCGAGACTGTAGGAGGTTCCGTGTTCACGGTCCAAGGTTCTACTTCAGCTGTGGGCTCCAGACGAATGGCAGCTGGTGGCTACGATAGCTGTTGTTCAAATAATCTGCACCATGTTCACGGTCCAAGGTTCTACTTCAGCTGTGGGCTCCAGACGAATGGCAGCTGGTGGCTACGATAGCTGTTGTTCACCGAAATAATCTGCATACATTCCTAGCTTTATATGCCTCCCCCATTTCCTGAGCCTTCCGAGTTCATCGGGCGCGTGCTTACTTTCACTTGACGTCTGGTCGAGTTATGTTCGGGACCGGCTTGAACGTTTTTCCGAGATTCAAGAAGTGTCATTGTTCTGTCTGATATCAAGTGCTCGAACGGACCTAGTGGCGCCGTGCCACAGGCAGAACTCCCAGTACTGCGTAAAGAGTTGGTGTTTTCGGCCCGGAGCTTGGATTAGCTCAGTGGTTTAGGTGCAAAGTTACTAACTTGGAACCCAACCTCAGTATCCCTATTGCCCTTGTGTACACTTGCTCATCCTGACATTATCGCACTCCTCAGCCGAAATGGCAGTTTGGGATTGAAAGGGTGTTACAGTTGAGGGATCTCGTTCCATCGTGAATTTTTATCCTATGGTGGAGTATTGGAAGAAACTGCAGAAGATTATGGTAAATTCGTCCAACTTCCGGATCTGCCAGTCTATCATTTGCTAAGCGATTCGTCCGCACCTTACGCAGCCCTGGAATTGGTAGTGGACGGCCACGGTTTAGTTGAAGTGAACCAAAGTTTTGAGAATATCTTGCCAGCTTGCCTGATAGTTTAGCATCATTTGTGTGCCAGAGTTGCGAAGGACGAACTGTTGGGTTTCCTGCTGATGAGACCCGACGGTTTTG